AGGGTGGGTACAAAGCTCTTGCATGTGGCGTTGGCAGCTTTCTACACCTGCCTTGCTCAGGGCTGGGGGTACGGAGGAGGAAGAGGTGAGGTGGCAAATGTATTTTTAGGTGAGGATGTCAGCTATGAACTACCCCTCTTGGCTACACTTGGCATCGGCTGGGAAGTGGGGACATAGGTGCTGCTGGGTACCTACCTCCCATCTCCATTCAACAAAGAGGAGTTCAGTGAGGGTCCAGGCATGGCCACTGCCACAGGCAATGATAATCCCCAGCTGCCCCACAGGGATGGAAGGGAGAGGGCTTGTTTGTTCCCCTCTTAACAAAATAGTTTTATCACCTACAGACACTTGGTAAGTTGCTGCAAGTATGGTACACTATTACAGGAAATCTTTGCTTTGAGGAGGGATCAGAGGTCACTGCTGCAGGGGATCAGGGGCTGATTTATTAAACAGCTAAATCTATTTGAGATGCAGCTCCTCAAAAAGAGCCGTGTACTTGCAGCCATATAAATAGGTAAGAAGGTATGCCAGTTAATGCCTGTATTTATGTTCCCCAGGCACAAAGCCCCAGCTCAGAGGGCAGATGCAGGTGGTTGCTGTCAGCCGAGTCGCCTCCAGGCCTGCAGGTCTGTCACTTCTTCAGGACTGGTTTCTGCTCCTGCCACACTCCTGTCCCCTTGCATGGAAACTGCAGGAGAAAGTGCAGTACGTGCCTCGATTTTGCTGACATTGCCCCAACAACACTTGGTGTCTCGTGTGCTGGTAATGATGGGGCTTGTATTGCAGCCTACACAGGCGGATCTAGGGTGGGGGACCCGGGGTGGGGATCTCGTACGCCGTACCTCAAGCGTTAACACAAACGTAGTGAGCAGAAATCCTCCCCACGAGGTCCGCCGGCGTCCCAGCCCCGCAGCCCTGACAGGGTCAAACGCGAAGGGCACATGGGCACGTGCCTCTTCCCGGGGCCTGCTTCCCTCCCCGCGGCCCCGAGCGTTCCATGGCGGCCGAGTCCCGTCCAGCGGTGCTGCCGCAGCCCGGCGGAACGCGACCCCGGGCCCCGCTCCTCTCCCCCGCGACTGGCGGTGACCGCGCCAGGGCGGCGGCGGGGCTGCTGCCGGCAGGGGGCGCTCTGGCTCCGGGAACGGGCTGCAGCTGCTCCTCGGTCCGCGTCCCGCTCCCCGGCTCCCCCACCGCGGTGTGTCATGGAGCGGCCCGCTGCCGCCCCACGGGGACGGGCACCGGGACAGGGGTTCCCGGAAGCCGTGCAGGTACCGCGAGTTCGCACCGCAGCGCGGGGAGAGAAGAGGCTGCGTCCTTCGGGGCACAGCCTGGCCGCCGACCCGAGGGGCTCGGACCGTGGCGCAGGTGCGGCCCATCTCGGCGCTGTCCGCAGCAGTGGCGCCGAGCAGCGGCAGGGCAGCGCAGAGCCCGCGGGGAGGAGGAGCTGCGGGCCTCGGTCCCGTGGGTCCTGCGGCCGGTCGGCTCCGGGCCCGGACCCGCGGAGCGAGCCGCCGGCGGCAGAAGTTGGTGACAAACGTGCGCTGCCCGTGCCTGCCGCCGGCCGCTTCCTTTGTGCGTTTGTCAGCACTTGTCGTCCGTGCCCGCGGCGGCGAGTTAACCTTCGTCAGTGCTGGGAGAGATTGTTGTAAACAGAGGAAAGGAAGAAAAGCCTTTGTGAGTTTTACAGAGGTGCTTTAAACACACGGTTAAATGACAGGCGGAAAACGATGTATTTTTTTGTAATTGGTGAGTTTTTTCACATTCAGGTTGATGCGCTTCCTTGGTACAGACACGTATGGCAAAGAAATACTTGGTTTCTTTGAGCATATCTTTGATCACAGTTTATAATTACTACCTATGTACATCTATGTATCTTTTGAGAGTCAGTAACAGAAATTGTTTTTATTAAAAGCCTTAAAACAAAGATTAAAAAGAACACAGGAAAATTTGCTGGCCAGCCAACAGCTGGAGCACCCCTTCCTCTTACGTACGATCCAAGCATTTTGGACTAGATCCTTAGCAATATAATTTGGCATAGTGAGCCTCGCTGATTTACCTCAGCTGAAGACCTAATTCCAGTGCATGACATACTTAGAATACGTAAAATATATTCCAGAGGCACGAAAAAGCGTGGTTTCGCGTTTCAAGAAAAATCAAAGTAAGCCAGACTAAACCAACAGAAATTCTTACTCTGTGCCACAGTAATTACCTGTCGTGGCTGCAAATTCACAGTTTTCCTCAAGCAATACAGTCGTGGTTTTAACCAGAAGCTGCATGCGATGCTTTAAAACAAAAAGAAACAATTTCTTGTTTGGTATTTTTGTAATAGACCGTGCAATTATTCCACTCTCGGATATGTGAACAAATCTTTAAGAATTGAAACGCATTGTGCAGTATTATTTCATACCCTGTACAGGCTTTTAGTGACTTCACCGTTCCGAGTGCCTTTAAGATGAGTCGTTTAATAGTCACATTTTTAAAGTTTTATTTCTGTAGTATTTTACTTGCCTGGTCAGATTTACCCACCAGTGCAGCGTGGTGATCAGGCAGCAGCTCAGGTAGTGGCTTTTCAGTTGTTTTAATAGGAGGTTTCCCAAATCCCCTCCTGGAATTAAAGGTTCTTCAGGAGAAGGGGCAGGTTCCCCACACTCAAAGCTGATCTCCCTGCTGACTCCCTTCCCTGGGCTTCCTCAGTGATTTCTCTACCGTGTCAAGGCTCTTTGCTACCAAATAAATATTCAGACGTGGGGAGTGAGGGGGGAGAAAGGTGGAAAAAATAGGCCTCCCGGGGAGCTATTGATTTGAGATATGAAACACTGTATTGATACAAGAAAAACCCAGACATAAGGAAGCAGTTTGATATTGCACAATATTTGAGAAAAATCGTGTGCATCTGTTTAGCACAGTGTACTGCATAATGACAGCAATCTTCCCTGTTTGTATCTATTCATCTGATTATACAGCGTAACAATTCTTTTTGCCACACATTTATTTACCAAAGGATTTTTTTTAATGGATAATAAATTAGTAAATCAGATATCGTGCGCTTGGGGAAAAGCGTTAGTTGACTCCCTACACACAAGATAGTTGTGGTTCTTATTTTATGTGATACTTGCATATACAGATGAAGCTACATGCTTCCCTTGTGGCAAAGACAAAGGAAGTTTTAAATCACAATTTAGCACTCTTTCATCTAGACACGTCATTTTGAAAAGCTTCAGTGTTTAACACTGCGGTGCAGCACTGATGTAATGAAGAGCTTTGACTTACTTGAAGTATAACCCAGTGGCCTTCTTTTGATCTTTTTCCACAGCTATTTCTGCTGCCGCTTCCTGTCCTTGACCCAGCGATACACTGTGAAGTTCTCATGAGTCAATGGTAAATTCAAACTTGCTCCCTAAACAGAACAATAGACTGTACTACTTCGAGCCAAATAATGGAGTGCTCAAACAAGCATGTGTTGTGTACACAGTGTTTAAATGGCACCACATCTCATGAGTCATCGAAGTAAAAAAACAGCCCTCAAAAATACAGTTTCAATAAATCCCCTGAGCTGGGGTGTTGTACTGCTTTCTGGCTGGGTATTCTGTATTAGCAAAATACTGCTGTGGCTGAAAAGCAACCCAGAAGTGGAACAATTGATTCCTGCTGGTGGATTCATTACCTATTGCCTATACAAATATTTCAATGCACATAGAAGTGAATATATTAGAAGTGTATCTAAAGAAAAAACAAGAAATGAAATTAGTGTCTCACTAAAGTTAACATTACCTACAGGCAATTAAAGGAGCTAAACAGAAGTCCTTATGCTGGCATTAGGAGGTAGTGTGGTCAAAAGAGGGTTAGCAAGTTTTGAGCATATCTAGGCAGTAAGGTCAAAGCTCTCGCTCAAGTATACTTACACAAAGATGATGACTTATGCTAGTAAAATGCAGAAGAGCAGACAGCTACCTCTTGTTTCAGAAAGCAGCCAGCATTCACCCAGGCAGCTGTCTGAGTCAAGCACTGTAACTTTCATCAGATAGTATGTGTTCCAGATGTAATGCTGTCTCTGCATTAACGTGACAGCACTTGGCAGTAATGGAAAGGCCTCATTTATTTCTCTGGTTGAATGTCTAAGATCAGTGGTATTGCTAGCTCCTCTGGTAGAAACTTCTTTTACTTCATGGTAAATGCCATGTTTTCTTATGATTGCTGGTGATAGGTTCTAGTCCAGACTAATCTAATGGCTCAGAATTGATAAGGGGGCCAGTCCGGCATATGAATGCTCCTGGGGAGCAGCACTACCTTCTTCAGAAGTTTTTGTGAACACTGGGCTCATTTTGTTACAAGTTACATTTGAGCAAAGTTCCCATAAATTAAGAATTAAACTTGGCAGAGCCTTGTGAAAAACAACAGTAAGGTGTAAGACCCCTCTATGGGGCATAGTATTTTATCATGACTTCTGTTTGGTAGAGATCCAAGTACAACACACATTAGGGTCACTCACAGTGCAAAATCTGTCCTTCAGAGGGCTGAGGCTAGTAATGCAAACTGACAGGGTAAGTCATTGCGGCTGGTTTGCTGTCTCACATAGTTAGCAGGTTCAGAATAGAACTTTTTGCTTTTCATTCTCTTAGAAATTTCTCTTTTCTGGACATTCCAAATCTGCTTCTGCTTCTCCTTTCCAGGAGCCTTCAGTATCTCTGTTCAGGTAACAAAATTTATTCATCATTGTCGACACTTGAAAGGTAGAGCCAGTACATTTGAGCACAAGCATATGGATTTTTTGAAAATCAAGGAAAGTTTTTGATTTCAAAAAAGCCCCAGTGTATAGGTTCATTATTATAGACACACTGCACTCTGATTTCTCTCCATCATACAGTTAGAGAGAAAATCAAGGTAACTGGTGAAATCCAGAGAGTTCACAAAGCGTCAGTTTCTGTGAGTAAAAGATTTAGTACAGAATGGCTGTGCAATTAATAGGAAATATCCATAATATTTATCAGCGTTTATTTTCACAAAAAGTTTGGATTTAATTTGCGGTCAAATTGCTGGTTTAAAACATTTTTAAATCTTTCAAAACCATGCAGTGCAGGCTGAATATCGTACACATAGAGAAACATTTCTCCTAGTACATGAGTTTGTTCACGGATGATGATTCAGTGTATCAGCTTGCAAGACCAGCTAAGCCTTCACTAAAATACAGACAAAATTCTAAATGTAAGGCTCTTCTGCCTCCACAAATTAAATGTGTGCTTTTGTGTGTAAGCCTTTTAGGATGGCAACAAGGCTCGAAACACTCAAATGTGTTAGGAAAGTGTATTAATACAATATTCCAAGGCTAGTTGAACTCAGATTTCTCTAAAAGAGGAATAGCTTCTATGAAGAAATTGCCAGATCAAAGATACATGGTGAAATGCTTAAAATCTTAGAAGTCTGTAAGAACTGCATCTAAATTTTTCCCTCCTGTAAAAGGCAAAAAGGCAGCTCCACACCATTAGTTACTGCGTTGTACAGGGATGTGCTGTGTTCTGTTACTTGGTGTTTAATCCAGAAGTGCGTTCAGCTATGTATTAGTAGTGAGTGCTGAATTATAAGCCATCAGAGCAGCAAAAGATAGGACAGAAATAAACTGTTGGCTGTGATTGCCCCTTTGAAAAAGAACAGGGATTCTGAGAGGGGAGGGAAGGAGTTTCCATGTCCCCAGTGGAGTTTATTATTCTCTGGAAACAGGTAAACCAACCCTGGCTCATGAAGATACTTTAGAATAGGAAATGTTTTGCCTTTGAAATGTACCAGATTACATGTCATTTCAAATAGTGTTCATGGCGAAGATACCCCTGGGACCACCTTACAAGAGCTTTATTTCTTGCCTGCAAATTAGTCAGTTCAAAACACTTCTTTCATCTCTGCCTTCAGCTCCTAATACCACACATGCTGTTTGTAAAATAGGGGAGTGAAAAGACCCTGAATACAATGGTACAATTAAAAAACTAAAACAAAAAACTGTAAAGGCAACAACAGGATGGGCTTCAGCCGACAAGGAAAAGAATGAAATTTCGGTGCCTTTTTGGAGGCATTTCAATAAACCCTCTTTTCCCCCTTTCAGCAGGGGCTCACTGAAGCAGCTATGTTTTCTAAATGGCAGACAGACAATAGCATCTAAATTATTTTTAAGAAAGCACTTATAGCACTAAGCACCCAGTACTACTAAATCCGCCTTAGAGGAGAAGGGTGGAGGAAGAAGAAAGGTCAACAAATGTATCAAGTTCTTTGTGTAATGCCTCACTGACATTTTCCAGCTCCCTCAGCTGGCTTTTATTTTTTTATTTTATTTTATTTTTTCAGAATCCTGGTAAAATGCAGTAAAGGATTTGAGGTTATCGTCTGTCTCTCTCTAACTTCTGACATCTCTTTATAACAAGAAAGAGTCGCAGCCAACTGTAACAGGAGGGCAACACAATGGATCCTGGTAAGACAGGGAAGGGGGGAGGTTCAACTTTGCTGCCCCTTTGCCCCTATTTCTTCCTCACAGAACAGAAGTGCCATCTGTTCCTAGTCCTAACATGCATGCATTTGATTTCCATTCAGTAATAACTAACACAGGAAAAAGATTATCAAGTGATCTAAAGCACTGTCAGCATTAGCAGGTCTTCCCCATCCAGTGTTTTGTTTGCACCTCCAAAGATCTGCAGATGAAATGGATATGGGCAAGTGCCTTAATTGCCTAGAATTACTCTCTTCTCTGGTAGAGGACCATATGGTCAAGGTGTGGAACATGGCCAGAGTAAGGATACTTAGGTGCTTTTAGGAAAATCAAATGAGAGGATGGACGGTTAGATTCTTCAACCTGAATTCATTACCCCAATCTCGTATCAGTTGGTGCTGTAATATATTGTTTTATGAATGCAAAATCAAGTCACAGCATATTGTGTGAGGCTGGACAGTCAGTATTAAAGTATGAGCATGTTGCGAAAGAATCTGTAGAAATGTTTCTTAGGCTTCACAGTCAAATCTGTTGTATTCACAAGTAAAAAGCCCAACGCCACCAAAACTACCCAGCACCTTCCAGTCCAGCAAACTCAGTTTAAGATTGTGCTGGTTTTGGTTGGGGTAGAGTTAATTTCCTTCGCAGTAGCTGGTATTGGGCTATGGATTTCTGGTGAAGACAGTGTTGATAATTCAGTGATGCTTTCCATATTGCTCAGCAATGGTTACAGAGAGTCAGGGCCTTTTCTGCTTCTTACGCTGCCCTGTCAGTCAGTAGGCTGCGGGTGCACAAGAATTTGGGAGGAAACACAGCCAGAACAGTTGGCCTCAAATGACTAAAGGGATATTCCTGTCTTACTCAGGATATAAACTAGGGAGGAAGTTGGCCAGGGGGCACTGCTCAGGGACTGGCTGGGCATTGGTGGGTTGGTGGTGAGCAATTGTTTTCATTTGCATCATTTGTCTTTCTTGGGTTTTATTTCCCTCTCTATTTTTTTTAATGTTCCTTTTCATTACAGTATTTTTCATTATCATTATTATTATTAATCCAGTTATTTTAACTTTTACTATTATCTTCCAGTTATTAAAATGTTCTTAACCCGTGAGTTTTCTCACTTTTTACCTTGCAGTTCTCTTCCCCTCATCCTGCTGAGGAGGGAGTGAGCAAGAAGCTGTGTGGTGCTTAGTTGCCAGCTGTGATTGAACTATGACAATCGTTTTTGGCACCCAACGTGGGGCTTGAAGGCTTTGAGGTAATAACAAATTGATCAGAGTGTATTATAAGGGATTTGTATTTCCTCTGTTAACAGTTGCAGGTCATGATATTGATTCATGTGTTCTCAATATTAGTTTACTTGATCTTTTTTTTCTTTTTTTTGCTGTACCTGTTAAAGATTGGTGTTGGCTTTTGCAGTTTGCTGTGCTCTGTAGTGATTAGTGATGTTTTGCCTGGGAGATTTGTTACTGAAGCAATGACCTTGAGCTTGATCTGGTATTTGGGTTCTGTTCTGAAGCCATTACTGTACATCTTATGGAGATAATTAACAATTGACTTCTTCCTCTCAGGTTTTTTTTTTCAAGGAAGTACAAAATAGCACCTTCACTACCTTCTTCCATGATGTTTTCTCTCTCATTACAATAGCTTCTCAATGTCTTGAACATCCTCATGTAGTTGAAATAGCCAGTTGCTACCACGGCAGTGCATCAGTGACGGTACTGCAGCCGTCAAGACTTTCTGGTTCCCATCCATGTATTGATCCATCAACTGGAGAGTCAAGGACTGATTGGTAAGACTCATTCACCTTTAACAGTCCCATTTGGCCAGTGTATCTATCGAGGCTTGAACAAAGTTACACTGCCTTACCAGATGTGCTGGAACTCCAATATGGAGTCAAAGGCAGCCACACAGTGGAGGAATTTTTTGAGACAGGGAGAATAATCCAGATTCTTTTGAAAGCTGATTTTACTGTCAACCAAAGTAAGGTCAAAGGGTCTGCACAGGAATTCAGTTTTTAGGAATAAAATGATATTATTGTTTAGGAATAAAATGACACTATATGTTATTTTCCTTTTCACTACACGTTGTTATTGTTACTGTTACTGTTGTTATTGTTATACTGTTCTTATCTCAACCCATTCCAACTCTATTCCCCCATCCTGCTGGGGGAGTGAGTGAGTGACTGTGTGGTGCTTATTTGCCAGTTAAACCACAACAAAGATCCAAAACTCAAGAAGATCATCTTTTGTTCCTAACTTGCTGCAGGTGCTGGCGACACCATGAGTCCATCAGTTATGCCCAGTTTTGACTGATGTCTTACTGTTGAAAGCAATTGGGTGCAGCAGCAGATGTCAGCAAAGGAAAGATGCCTACAATGTGCTGTTGCGAAACAAGGTGCAGTAGGTGCAGTGGGATTTGTCTGTTCCAGCTCTTCAGAAATTTCAGTGTTCTTTCTTCTTGCTGTCTATACCTGATTATTTTAGCAGTCTCTCATTTCTCTATCTTCTTATCCTTTCCCCCTTTGCTGCTGCTGCCTGCCCACCTTGCTACTTAGGCACTTCTATGTCCAGAAACTGACCCTGTCAGATGCCAGCTTTCTTCCCAAGGACTGGGGAAGGACCTCAAGCTTGGGAGAAATGTGGCCAGAGCTGTAATGGTGCAAATGAACTTGTAAAATGGTTCAAGAGGGCAAAGCCAAGCAAATGGCTAGCAGGTAGCTTGTGCTTTAGACTAGTTTATTTTGCGCAAGTCAGATACTGCATGCGCTGCATCTGAAGTCTGAAGCTGATCCGTCTGGCAAACCTACTGATGTCTACATTGTCAAAATACATGAGACAACATTTCATTTCTCCAAATTGCCATTAATTTCGTTGCCTTATTTTCTTTCTTTTCCTCCTACACCAGGATGACACTTTTGAAGTGTACTTTTAAGAGCATAATTTGATCAAATGATCCAAGGGAACTCCCTATAGACATCCATGATTTAATGCTAGATCTGTTCTAAAGGTTGGCTTGTCTGACAATGGCAATGGGTTTAACTTCAGTTCATTTGTAGGTAATAAATATAGCGAGTTTTTTCTGTGTCAGGGCTGTAATTTGTTTACACAGCTGAAGAAGGAATGTATCAAATAAAGGCAGGACCTGGCCACGGGTGATGGTGAGCGTTTTGAGCATCGCAACCTCACGCAGAGCAGAAGGTGCTTGGCACCTTGCTGAAGTCAGCCGTTGTGCATATCCTTGTGCGAGATGCTTGCACATGAGTTCCAGATGACCTCAAGGAGACTGCAGGAATTCACTGGATGGTGGATTCATGGTTCTTTGTCCTCCCTTTCCCTTCTCCATTTGGGATTTCACTTTCCAGCTCACAGCACATGCACTGGAAGCCAAAGATAATCCTCTTTTACTAGGTTAGTATTTTCATCCTAGTCCTGACTCACACCTGTGCAGGCTTTGGGCTCATCTGCTCTGTAACCATCTACCACTCTTTTCAAAGGGAAGAAGGAAACTCTTGGTATGGGTGCAAAACTTAGAAGAGGTCTGTGCCGAATAAGATCCAAGAACACAGCTGCACAAGAGTCAGCATACTTCTCACAGACAAAATGCAGTGAAGGAAAAGATGGCACTTTCAGCTAAATGAGAGATCATTTCACAATACTCATTCCATTCAGCCCCTTCTAGGAGGAAGATATACATGCACATCAGCACTTGGGACATGAAGAGCTACTTTGAAAGTAGATGTGGTTCCTGGTGTTTGAGATGAGGATGGATAGTGAAGAGTGAGAAAATTGGCTGTCCCTGCAGAGGTGCCCTCCAGCCACAGCAACGTCTGTGAAGTTGTGCTTTTCTGTACTTGATGAGAAAGCAGCCTGGGCTGGCTGAGAGCAAGCTCAGTTTGTAGGAAGAGTTTCAGACTGATATTCATTGCCTCAGGAGGAAGTTTCCAGGGGCGCAGCACAGCCTGTTAGCAGCATGAACAGCTTGAGCTACAGCAAGGAGACCCAAGCAGAAGTACACAAACATGTCCATATTCCCTCCTACTGTAGCAGGAAGGCACGCAAGAGAGGCCTGAAAATCATTAAGCAAAAGACTGTTCTGTGGGCTGCATTCTACAGGCACAGGTATACACACAGCCATAAATGGGAGCTCGTGCAGGGTTCATGTTGTACTGGGAGAGGGCTGGGCTGTGAAAGAAGGCTTTTCTCTTTCAAACAGACTGGTGTAAGTGATATTTGAGGGTGTAATGCAGAGAGTCGTGTTCTTTACACTCAGCCTCATGTTGTCAGAGGGTTTTGCTCACTGCACTGCCCTGTGAAGTACGACAGTAAAAGCCTGCGACAGGAGGGAAAGAAAGTTGTAAGCCAGTGGTAGCACTAGATTAAAACAGCAGCACACAAACACGCTGACCTCTTCCTGAGCAGTAACCTTGAGTGAGAGCTGGATTGACTGATTTTATTCTGCTTGTCCGTTAGAAAATAGAGCACAGCAGCACAGACTGTAAGTGGCCAACAGTGCTTGCGAGCTTCAGTGTTCTTTATGGTGTTTATTTCAGCTTCCAGGTCCTTAAAGATATTGGTGATGTTAAGATGTAGTATTATACTCAAAGTCTTCTTATTGGCAAAAGGGTATTGACAAAAGGCACACATTGTGCCTTTTGTGATCTTTGAATTTACTGTTAGTCTGGTTAATGTTTCAAACAGCCTAATAGTCAAAATTACAGACCCTACACCATCAGTACAAACCTTGTTGCTTTTTACTAATAATGGAAAAAAGAATACAGGAAGGCCTCATTAAAAATAGAGTTAAAATTGCTACACAGAAATTTCCCTTTTCTCTACTGTTGTGCTTACTCTTTCAGTCTTTTGGGTCTTTGATTGACACTTTGGTATTTCTCAAAAGAACTGGGGGAGTATTATGATGAGTCATCACCACGAAGAGTGTGGTACTCATGGGAGGGGATGTCTTCCTCCTCAGTCTGGTGTCTGCTTGGATTTAGTTTTATATCTTTTCTTAACACTATCCGTTTACTGTGACTCAATGACTGATTTGTGTCATCTGTGTCTGCACTCTTCCCTGTGACTTATTCTAGCAGTCCACAATGAGTAATCATTTGTTGTTGCTATAGACTAAAAAATCTAGTGAAGAATGTCTTAGAGCTGGACAAGCCACAGTTAAAAAAAGTTGAAACATATTTAGGCAAAAACAAACCCAGGGAATTGGTGAGACCCTGCCCTGTCAGCACAAACCTTGTTGCTTTTAACTAATAATGGCAAAATCACACTTACTGGGCATTATGTCAAGTCCCTTTGGATATGCTGTGAATTGCCGAGTTCAGCAAGGATTTGCAAACTTTTCTATGACTGCAGAATCATGACTGAGGAGCATATATTGTTAGCATTCACACTTTCCTATCTTCTGTTGAATCAGGATAATGTATATAGGTCTCACTGACCTGCATTTCTTCATTGCTATCAGGAGACCAGGTAAGAAAAAGTGTTTGATTTTCATCGCTGATATAATTTGCACAATCAGCAGGAATACTGTAATCATTAAAATGAGAGCTACAGGTTGTAGAGATGTAGGAGACCATAGTGTAACCTATAAGGATATAGAATAATTAAGGTCACATGCTTGTATCTAAGATACATCACACACACAGAGGGACAGTGTCAGAGAGGTTTTACAGGAGGTAATACACAACAGTTTCTGGAATTGGCTGTGTACACATACGACTAGATCCCATGTATATATGATTTAGAGACTGATTAGAAATAGAAGGAGAAATGTCATAGTCATAGCTGGTTAACTTTTGAGCTAAGCAGTTGTCTGAAGACTGGAAACTAATATCTTCCCATATCTATTGCATATGTCAGTGCTATTTCCTGGCATTGCTCTGAAAAGACTCACTGGTATATTCCATTTTCTTGGACAGTCTGTGTTCACAGATGCACATCTAAACTATCAGAAACACTTGTTATACATTTCCAAAATTATCTGATCAGCTTCTTGGTAGCAAAAAGAACTTTTTCATCAGCTTGGTACATGACTACATATCCTACACATGTGCAGTGTTTGGAAACGTGCTAAATCCAAGATGGTTTAAAATACATCCAATGCAATATTACACAAACTAATATTTTTTAAACATTATTAAGAATATTATTTAAAAATATTTATCAAAAATATTTTCCTTGGCAAAAAAATGTGCAACTTTTTGATCCATCTTTGCTTCTGTTTCATAAGCACTCAAATTTTCAACCATATTTGTAACATACATATATTTTCATGTTACAGTGATAGACATTCATATCTTGGTGATCTGTTAAGCATGGTCACTCTCAATGAGAGATGTGCAGTGTTCATCTGGAAGAACCTCACTGTGACAGTGCCAGAACCTCCCAGGGCCCCTCTGCCGATATTTGACCATTTTTTCCAAATCCCTAGTTGGAATTGCCCATTCTCTGACTTCTGCTGGTTGCCTCTTTCCTGCCCTTTGCACCTCTGAGGAAAACCTGTTTGTTTGCTGTGTAGCTTCTGACAAAGTACTTCTAGGAAGCAGTAAATCCCCCTGCCATCCTGGCCTTTTCAGGGCTGAAGAGCCACAGCTTCTCTTCACATGCTACCTGCTCCAGCCTCCACTGGATGAGAGCCAGTAGGTTAATGTCTTTCTTGTATTGCAGGAGATAAAATAATTAGATTCATACTTTTCATTTATAACACCTATTCTTGTTCATATACTTAGTGGAGGTGTAACACTTTTAACTGGTTTTACAGCTGTACCCTCTTCTTGAGTTTTATCCTATTCACTTTAGTTGGATGTGCTCCTACTTCAGCTTTCAGTCTAGCTCCTCTGAAGTCCAAATTTCTCCTTGCACTGCTAGTTCTTCAGTTCCCTCTGTTACCACTTACCAGAGAGCCCATGTTTCCGCACATTATAGGCTTTTCAAGTTAAAAAAAAATCATTTCTTTTTTCCATTTAATTTGGAAAAGTCTTGTTCTGCTTTCTGGATATACCTGCAGGAAGCTGGAACCCAAGGGTATGGTCCCCTCTGATGAGCTGAATAACACACTGGCCTTGGACCAACAAAATTTAGTAAGGAGAATACTTTTAAAGAAGATGCAGTATTAGAAAATCAGTGGAGTAGCAGAGCTCTTCTGAGCTTGCCTCTGCAAAACTGCTGACAGCATGTGGCTCTGCCATATCCAGATATGGAGTGCTCTTGAGGTTCCTCTGCAGTCCATGACAGCAAAGGAGACTTGGAATTTAGCAGAAAGTATTCTCTCTTCTGAAGAATCAAACTCAAAGAACCTTCACTGTTAGGAATATGACCTCTTCAGGTACTTACAATTATTTACTTACCCTTATAAACAGTAGAAGATTGACAAATCATCCTAGCAAAGGGACTAGAGCTGCGACTGCAGGTGTCAGAATTTAGTACAGAAGATGGTGTCTCCAAAATTTGTTTTTAACTGTTTCAAAAGGCTGTATAAAGGAGGGCAGGAAGCAAACCATCAGGCAGTGATAGGGCTTTTTCTTCCCTCATTTTTTACTTTTTTTTTTTGGTGGGCTAAGAATAGAGGGAACACATAGCAAGCATTTTGCTATTAAATTTGCCCATGACAAATAGTGCAGCTGCATGTAGTGTGCAGGAACATCTGTAGAATCACGACATATGCAGAATCCCCCACACTAAAAGCGTGACATTATACTGAAAACAGTTCAGTTGAAAAAGCAATATAAATCCTTTTTATATAATCTTTCTCCCCCTTCTCTTTTGAAATTAAGTTAACTGAAGGGTTCTGTCACTCCTTCATGTCGTCAGTAAAATTCACAATATAAAAGTGACTAAGCATTTCAGGAGTGTCTCCTTTCAAGTCTGTCTTTCCTGAAGAAACAGAAGGTTTAATAAAGAATAACCAGTGGCAGAAATGCACTAGACACCAGAGCGTACTCCAGGTGGAACTTGACAGAGTTTGCAGATGCAATTTAACTCTCCAGAAATCAAGGGGTGATTTTCTGTGTCTCTGTATCTTGTGCAGTTGTTCAGTTTAAAGTGAGAGGTATAATTGCTGTCAAT